AGATTATTGCAACAAAGAGATCCACAACTGTATGGTACGGCTACCTAGCCAAAGCACAGGGCGATGTCAAACTTTGCGAATCGAGCGATTCGCTAGCGTCCCGCGGTCGCGTTGCGGTACCAGCCAATCGAGCGATTCGCTGGCCGCGACGCGACCGCGGACGCTATCGCTCGATTCGCAAAGTCTGACACCAGCCATGAGAGGAGGGATCATACGATGAGCAAGTGCGTATTTCAGGTCAGTCAATTTAGAGAGCAAAATAAGTCTCCCACTTCTTGACATAGGCCCATAAATCTGATCATTTATTTTCACAACAGGCACTTTTTTAAATGAACAAGAAAAAATGTATTCGTCTAGTTTTTTAACGGGTTTTATTCTCCCAACCAGGGGTTTCCCTCACAGCGAAAATTGAGATTACTGTAAGCGATAAAACTATCACCGCATTGCCCACTAATGCGCAAAAACTGCTAGATGATGAGTTGTGCGACCTATTGGAAATATTGAGGAAACATAGTCATTCTTTTGAAGCTTTGCACAAAACCTTGAAGTGTTATTGGGAAAGAGCGAAGATGAAGTCGGTCACCCTTGGAAGATAGGTAGGAGCCTCAAGTCTAATGGTAAGCCAACAAGGGAGATGAATTTTAGGGGAAGTGGAAACTGCTTACCTGAAAGTCCTACCCACTCCAAGACTGATACCTAAGAGCTTAGGGCAAGACAGAGCTCTACCATGACGCTAAGGCGCTTTACGAACTACCACTTCTCTTGAAGAAATGAATGATTCCATCTCAAAAAGTTCGACGCATGATTTTCTACGTGGTGGGGTCTTGCTGCGATGATGTGCCGAGCCGACCGCGCCTTAGGCGGGATCTTCGCTGATCGGCTTTCGCTTACTATAAATGCGTCCTAAACCAAATCATCACAGGAAAATTTGCAATTTTGGAAATGATTCCCTCTCCGCCTCGGGAAGATGTCATATAGCAAAGGCAACATGCCCAATTTTGACATAAATTGAGCCTTCCGGAATAAGTTGTAGAGAAAATTTTCTTCGTCCTATTTCCTTCCTTTTTTGAGGGGGGGGGGAGGGGGAGAACTGAACTAAGAGATACAAGACTAAGAGTAAAGCAAAAAATTATATCGCTTACAAGATGTGAGCGAATGTGCCTGTCCATTAATGTTTTGTAGTCGATCGTAATTTTCTGCAGAACGGCTGCCAGACCGATAGAACGCCGGGACACCACTGAAGCTGCCAGCTTTCTGAAAAAGGAGACAACATTTTAGTAGTGGTAGCTAGATGCTTGTACACAATTTTGTGGAAATAATGCCGAAGCTAATTTTGCGAAAAGAAATGGAAAACATCTTTTGTTGGCAATTGCGAAGCAGTTTCTATTGAGGGGGACTGGTGGTGGATGAGGGCGACGGACTTTTGGCTCGTCCGGGCTGGCACGCGGCGAATCGCGCGGCGGGCTGCGCGGCGATCCGGACGAGGCAACCTTCGCGGGCTTTGCAGTGGAATTCAACACGTCAAAGCGTGTACAGATAAAATCCGCAAGGTTCTGCGACTCGAATTACATTCCAGCACGCACGGAGATTTAAGGACAGCAGTGATGGTAAGGAAACTTGGAAATATCAGTAGAAACAGATGAAGAGGAACTAGCATTTGCAGTTTTAGCAGTTAGGCGCTCAGTTGTTGGGGGGGGGGGAGTTCCAGGAGTAGTGAGTGAGCCAGTTGTGGTTCTTGAGACTAACCATAGGCAAGGAGGGGAAGATAGAAGAGAGAAGAAAAAAGTCCCTTCTCCTTTGGTGAGGGGAAAGGATTCTGGGGAGATGTGAGCAATTTGTGTTCTCCCTGGCGTTTCTCCCCTTTCCTGGGCTTAGTCCTAGTGTCACCTACCATCGGGCCTGTTTTGAATGTTCCCCTTAAAGAGATGAACGCCGTGATTAGCAAAGCATCAACTATTTCAGCAAAGTCTTTAGTGCTTCTCATTTATTTATTGACAGTGGTGCCATTTCCTGAAGGTTTCACAGCTTTGCGCTGAAATCTCCTCACGACACCGCAGCTTTCAAATCTTAGCGCCCGGAAAGTTTTTTGAACCGCAGAATCGTGCGGAGTTTATCCGCAATCTACACACGCTTTGACGTGTTGAATTCTACTGCAGAACCCGCGAAGCCTTGCCTCGTCAGATCGCCGCGCGTGCCGCCGCGCAACTCGCCGCGTGCCAGTCCGGACGAGCCAAAAGTCCAGCACCAATGGATGAATCACTTAAGACAACCGGTCACCAGAAATGCAGCTTTAGTTGGCCACTATTTTCAGGTGTATTATTGTAGTAAGAGGTCAACACGCGACGTCGTATCAATGGACAGTTCAAATTTGCGCGCCAAATGGGAAATGACCGCCTCGTGGTGCACGCGCCGCGCCTGCGCCGTTTTCGAAGCTATGTGGTTACGGGAATGGCGATAGCGTCTATTCCGATTCGAAGAATAGCGGGGTATCTTGCGCCATGTTTAACACACCATTCAAAAATAAGGACCTACCCTCATCACAGGCCCTTGGTGCACGTATCCCAACGGGTAGTATTGTTGCGTCTTTTCGAAATATTTATTGCTGCCACTTGTCCATGACCACGGCTGAAAGCGAAAGTATTCCCACGTGGTCGATAAATGTCGCGCCACCGAAATGCAGACGTCTTTGACACACAATTTCCTCAACGCACCCAGCAAATGTCCTCCAACTAGGATCAAATTGCCCTGTTTCCAGCTTCCGAGCGGGGAGGGATTCGCTGAATTGCGTGATGACCTGGATTTTATCGTCTCTTGAACGTGCGTGACGGCCGACGTACTGTGGAAAGCTGCACGGGGTTGTGGTTGCAGAAGGTTGAGGTCTTGACTTGATATAGGTTGTTCTCACGATATGAGAGACACTCCCAACGATTAAGCTGACAACTCAGTGTGAAACTAACAAATTAGATAGACTTTGCCATTTCACACTGAATCTGTTTATTCAACAGCCTCTTTCCGCTCGACGGGCCATTTAGAAGCAGGGTCAACCGTCACGTTCGAACATTTTCGGGATTTTTGCGACCCCCTAGCTCTCGAGGGGGTCCAGTTGCGACCCCCTGTTTTTGTTAATAAGAGTGCTAGACATGAATCCGTTGCGCCAGAAAGCGTCTGCGCGCCGTCGCAGTCGGCCTTGGAGCGCGGCAGGTATCACCCGGGCGCTGGAAGAACGGGACGCGGCGAAGAAAAAATTTTAGAGGGGAATAACTTTCTTGGGACGTATTTTTTTGACTTGTTGAGGTAGATTTTGATTGTGCCTGAGGTGCGCTTCCAGAAAACTACAAGGATTGCCTAACTCTCCGGAAAGTACTTCTGTTAGAAGTGGAAAACCCAAAATTCTAAGAAGGCGCACCTTCAACTTTGAAGGCCCATAAATATCTTTCGTATGCGACATTTTGGAAAGCTGTAAAAAGTTTCAGAAACTTCAAATATTTCTCTATCAAAAGTATAAAAAGTTTAGTGATTGACCCCTTTTTCAAAAAATTGTCCCGTTCGAACATTTTCCGTGCAAAAGCGAGTTTTTGGGCTTTCAGCGACCATAACTCACTTCATTTTCATTTCTGTGATGCACTTTTTTCATGGGGTGAAAGTACAGGATTTGCTCTTTCTAACAAGCCCCGAACCGTTTTTCAAAGTTCATTTTTCGAGAAAATCACACGTTCGAACATTTTGGGGGGTTTTGCCGAAACTACGAATGTACAAATGGAAGTAGAATGCGTGCCGCATCCCAAAAAGGGATTGATATCAACGGCAAATGCTTTATCCTTTATTTTATGGTGGTGATAGGGGGTAGGGGATGGGGAGGAAAGTTTCGCATTCAGGGACCTGCCTAGGGCTAACATTGTTGTGGGTCGTATCGAGACCCTGGGAGGGGGATGGGCTGAAAATTTTTGGAAAAGTGCGAACGCGACGGTTGACCCTGTATCAAATGCATACTTGATATGGATTTTTCAAAGCCGTCACTTGTGTGACTGAGTCTGTAATCGCGACACGTCTCGTGGTGAAAAACAGTGGTACATACTCGTTATGGCACTCATAAAATTCATTGCACGTACCTGATATAGTGACGATTCATACTCCAATGGTGACATTATATAGCTCGTATCAAACGATTGTGCCTTCTGCTACAAAAACCAGATTTACAAAAATGACAGAACTTTTGACTTGAACTAAACTTCCAAAATTACTACAAGCCGTACATCTCCATAGTTCCAAGAGCCGTCATACTTCTGATTGTCAGTGTAGACGTTGCTTTGAATGAGGCTTGCGAACAGAAAAGACGGCCTTGAAAAAAAAACGTAATAGATTTAGTAACACACAAAAATAAATTTTGAAAAAATTGCGGTATAACCTACGGTTTGGATTTAGACGTCTTCGATACCACCACACGTTTCCCGCTGTTGTCGACGTTATGATCGAGTCCAAACAGAACAGCTACTCGATGTATTAACATACGGGTATATGATGACACCGGTGGCAGCTTCAGTGACTGTTGTCTGAAAAACTCCCAAACATATTTTAAATTTCCGCAAGATTATTTAACAGAAAATCCCGGTAAAACCTACTCGAAATTGTTCAGCAGATCAATGAAAGTTTGTTCCAGGTGCAATATCACTGCACGATCTCGTGGGTTCTTATGTAATGTTGCAGCAATGAATGCACGAAGTTCTGGCTCAGTCAGGTCCGTGGGATAGTCCGTATACGAAGATGACTCTAAAAATATTCACAGGCACCTTTTGTTTCCCTGATCGAATTCTGAGCGCTACGGGCAGAACGCGTTCCTTGGAAAGAACGGGTCGCGATCGAATTGGTTTGTTAGGCGCTACCGCAATATACGGGGGCATTGCGGTGGCTTCCCATTCAAAACCGCGTGAACCATCTTTTTTTACTGAAAAAGAGACTAAGCCTTAGGTGGGTGAGGAGAGACTCCAAAGTGCGCAAACAATTTTCATTTTCCCCGATGTTCCTGCTCCCCAAGGGCCAAGTCCTAGAGGAAACCCCATATTTTATGATAACGCCGGTGTGTTACCTTGTTCAAAAATTAGGCAAGTGCGAAGAGTAACAGCTTGATCATGTACGTGAAAGACCACACACGCTGCAGAGAGCAAAACGCCGAGAGAGCACTGCGTGTCGTATAGCCCAGAGAGAAAGCAGACCTACCCGTATGTCGCGACGATACAATCCAAAGGGCCGCATGGGAATCGCTCCATTCGCAAAGTCTGACACCGGTTTCATATGTTCCCGCAAGACGCACTGGAGGAGTTTCACCTCTTTTTCAAAGCTCAGACTAACGCTTTCTACTCGTTCATTTTGGCATTCGAAGCTCTGCCGCTGTTCTCCAATCGTCTGTGCTTTGCTCTTTCGCGGCAGAGAATATGGGCGGAAGTTTGAATAGTCAAGTACCACACCAATTTGATTCTAGGGCATGCCTTTAACTTGTACCCTATTCAACCTGCACGCGAAACTGGGACAGGGGTAGACCGCGTTGGGTCCGGGCCAACTTGAGAATCTCGTAGCGCGCCGCGCGCTATGTATACTTTGCGTTACACACCCTCTCTTACTTGACACAGCAAATGCTCAAATACACATTTCCCACCTCTACTTAGTGATGAGGAATTTCGATGTCGTGGAGCCACTCCAGGTAAGCCTATAGCTGCCACAGAGGCGTAGGTTTTCAGCATTGACGATGGTGGCGGTGGACGTAATCGCGTGTCATCGTCTCCACACATCGCCATACTTCGGACGAGCTGTCGGGCCCGCGACGGCACCACACCAGCATATGGATGGTTTTCGACACGTACCTGAGATAAAGTTTTCGGGTGGATGATCGGTGAATCAGGAAAGGGTACAAATCACAGAACTATGCGTAAAATTTGGTAGAATATTCATCCAGGAATACATACCACGGCGGGGGCTCCTGGAGTTCGTTCAGGAAGCAACTCACGGACAGGTCGAAGGTCATTGATTTCATCAATGTCAGGTGCATCAACTAATATTGGTTGTAACGTTACTGACGATCCAGCCTGTAACGTCTATAATTACCCAAAATGTCAGGGAAAAAAGAACGTGTACATAGCCATTATTGGATAGAAGTAAAAGAAAAAAAGCTTTCATCACTAAAAGCAAATTTCACGACTAGAGGCTCAAATTATTGCATCCAGATATGAAAGTCTGTGGAATACCTTAGATTTACATTGTGCGCCGACCGTATGGGCGCAGTCTGCGCTCCGCTCCTGCAGGAATCTCTCTACCGTATCTACCATGAGGCGGG